TTCAAAGACTTCTGCATCGGAAAATAATGAAAGGAATGGAAGTGAAAACACGAATAAATCAATCGGACGTTTGGAAAGGATGCTGCGTTCTCATGACACCCCAGAGTGACACTGAGGAAAAACGTACGGCAGGACACAGGCCCGGCACCATGCCAGGCTCACAGGCAAAGGCAGAGTGGAACAGTGTTGTTGGCTGTTCGACACCTCGGCTCCCACGGCACTAACCTGTTTGTTTGGTTTTCAACAGGACACGTAACATTTAGACTGTTGATAAAAAAAAAAATTTTAAAAACTGTGGAAAAAAAGACAAAAACATTTTAGACACAAAGAGTTGTTTATCTAAAGATGAGAAAAAGGAAATAAAAAGTTTTTAAAAAATTATTGAATTATGTAAAAAATCATATAAAATTTGCCAATTCGATTGGTTAAGTCAAAATTAAACAAAACAAAATATGCATTTATTAGAAATAAGTCTTAATTATGTAAAATAAAAAGGAGCATTAAATAAAAAAACAAGATAAATTATTGTAAAAAAAGGTTTAAAATGAAAGGAGCAAAATCAGGAGTCAAAAAAATTCAAGAGATTAATCCTAGAAAGGAGTAGAAAATATAAGTTAAACACATTTTATATTTTGACAAGAATTATGAAAAGACGCCTCAGCGCTGTAGAATTTAAAGATTTTTTTTTCTTTTAATCCAGACTCATCCAGATTCTGTTCATTGTGAACTTCAGTCTTTCTGCTCCACAACATTTAAAGAACCTGAGGCTCCAGTGTAAAAACCTCAGGTTTCTCCAGACTCTGTGGGAAAGACACACTCCTGGAGACGATGCTCCGCGAGCCTTTTGTTCTGCTGTCAATCTGGCCTTGATCAAATATTTATGTTTCCCCGTTGACCTCCTCACCCTTTTTTCCTCACTCGCTTTCTTGCCTCCCAGCCTGTGACGACAGTCGCCCCACTGTACAGCATCACCGCCGCACATCTACTCGTCGTCGTTTTTGTTTCCTTGCACCCGCTCTTTGCCATCTGACCTTTCCTCTTTCCTCACTGCTCTGTCAGCATTTTTTTTCCTCTGCTCTTTCATGTTCTCACTGATTAATAACAACGGGGACCAGTTCTGGCTAAACCAAGTGGAGGGTGTGGCCCGGCTCAGCTTCAGTGGAGCCACTGATGACAGAACATCTTTTTAGTTTTGGTGTTTGTCATGATTGGAATTCTAATCTCCAATTCACCTCCATAAACATGAGTTCTTTTAAATTGAAAATTGAAAAAATAAAATCTGTTTTGAAGGCAGCTCAGTGACAGACGCTGACAGAGAGTCTGTCTGACTAATGGTCAGACAGACTCTCTGTCCTGTCAGTTTCCTGTGCTGTTGATGGATGAAGCCCCAGAGATGTGGACCTGACATATTCAGGTCCAGTACTCACTGGTTCCACCCTGTGTGCGTGTTCTGTTATAAGAAGTGTTCAAAACACTTGAAGTTAACAATGGATTTCCTCAGGACAGGAACCAGACTTACTCACCTGTACCACGTCAGTACAGGGTTCAGACTCATGTGTTTCCTGTGTGTTTGCTTTTTTTGGAAAGAATGTATAATATTTGATTTGTCTGGAGATGTGGGCTCTGTTTAGACTTCTTTTATTTTCTTGGCTCAGACTATTACATTGGGTAACATTGTACCAAGTTCCATATATTACATTTTTACAATTTAAAAAAAAAAGTTAAGAGTAACTACTTTTAACACTATTTATTTTTATATTTTTATTTTATATTAAGAATTTTTTGAATAGAAATATTAATTTGTTTCTGTTTTAACTCATCGTCATGAAACACTGAAGAGACAAACGTTTCGTTAAATCATCGTCATGAAACACTGAAGAGACAAACTTTGGACGACAACGTTTCGTTAAATGCTTTTTGTTTATTTGTTTTAATTCAAATTTTCCAGTGTTAGTTTTTCTAAAATCACAAACATTATTTACACCAGTGTCATTCAAATCTAAACAAAAGTCTGAGGGTAAAACTGACAGAATATGTTCACAAGAAAACAGCAGTTGTCAGATAATGAAGTATTTACAGGGTGTGTGTGTGTGTGTGTGTGTGTGTGTGTGCGCTGCGTATGGAGACTGTACATTATTACGGAGTTGTTTTAACAACAGGTCAAAGGCCAAAGGTCGGTGAACTTCTTCCTTTACTCCACAGACTGGTCTCATCGTCCCTGTGGATAAAACATTGATTGACAGTTAACAACGATGACCAATCAGATCCTGGTTTTTAAAATCAGGAAAATGAAAATCATTTCAGTGATAAAGATTAAATGATAGAAATGGTTTCTATACAACATTGGTGTTGATTTTTTTTTATCATTATTTTGACTAACGACCAACAAGTTTCTTTGCCCACAGGTCCTACCACTGTCTAGTCTTCTGGAAGGAAATTGGAGCACCAGAAGAATATCCATGACACACTTTAATTAAATTATACCATGAGTTACCAATGGGAATTGAACAGCTGACCTTCTTATGATAAAGCAGAAGCACTAACCACCCTTCCACTGTGTGACCTGTTTAAACCATCTTTTCCAAACTAAATTGACTTAAAGAAGCTGACTAAAATCGATGAACTAACTTCTGTGTCAGACATCATCGAACTCTTCAAACCTTCAATTGATTCTCAACGGCAAGAAAGACGGAAGAAAGTCACACTGTCGTGTGTTTCCTCACCTTCAAACTGGGCTGAGCACAAGGCAACTGCTGCTTCGGCGTCTTTAGCTCCTGCTCCTTCAGGGCCAAACTGTCTTCCAGAAGCTGCTTCTCATTCCTCAGCCGGGTTTGCTCCCTCAGATATTTTTCCATCTGGATGCAGGAAAAAGAGCGTCAAACTTGTTAAAGCGGTGGTTATCGACTAGAAGGTTATGGACGGTCGGAGGCTCGCTCCTCTGCTCTACCTGGTCGTCGTGTGTCCTCTGCATCTGCTGCAGCTGTGAGGCAGAGTTAGCCATCTTCTCACTGCGATCTCGCTCACACTCCTTCAGATCTGCGGCTGTGTATGAATTCTGCACCTCCAGACGAGTGGACAGCGCCTGGATCTGTGTGATCTGAGAGGAGAAGATCCCAGATTCAGGAACTTGTTACGGTGTACGTTAAAGTCATGTTCCAGCGGTAGAGCTGTAGACGACCCAGAGCTGACGTTGGAATGAGTCAATGCTCAGATGTTGGAAAACAGGAATAATCAATTCCAACAACGTTCCATTCATTTGACAACAATCACACTGGAAGGAACAGGAACCGTTCTAAAGTGTTTTGTTTTGTTTTAGTCAGATCTCTGTCAGAAATGACCTGCAGATGAACTGTTAACACGTCATTTCTCCAGTCAAAATCTGTAGACTACATGAGTCATGAGGTCAGTGAACACAGAGAGCTTTTATACACGGAACCTGTATCTGGGATTCAAACTGGCAACACTCCCTGAAAAAACACTTAGAAATGAATTATTACAGCATAAGAATGTTCTTTGATGGACTGCGACCTTTCCAGGATGTGACTGACCTTTAATCAGGAGGCCCCAGCTCCACTCTGACCTTTAACTAAACAAACAGTAGATCAGATGATGGATGAATCAGGAAACCACTAGATGTCACTAGAAATTATAAGTAATCATTTAAGTAAAATACTTTTATTTAATTAATGATTTTGATTTTAGCACCAATGTTCACAGGAAAAACTGTCAGAATTCCAAATATGTTCTTTAAATATGTTCATTAAAGCAAAAGAAATTCACGAGTTTTTGTTTTGGAGTTAAAGTCTAGTATGTTGTCATAAACAGTGGGACAGCTTTAAATTAAAACTTTACTTTGAGTGAGTTCAATTTTTTCCATAATTGTAACACGTAACAAAAGGCAGGAGTGGATAAAAGCAGGAAGAGCTGCTGTCGCCGTGGTAACAGCGAAGATTAATTTCAGCAACAATGTTGGCTCTGCCTCCGAGTCTCGTGGACTCATTACTTTAAAAAGAGGAAAAACCTGCTGAGACAAAGTGTTTTTGTTTTTCTACCCTCAGCTGCTGCTTCAGCACAGCTTCACTCCTGACCTCTGCTCCGCGCCTGACTTCACCTTCAGGTGGTGAGTCTGTCTCTCCTGCTGGATTTATTACGAATGACGCAGTGGAGAGACTTCCTCCCCTGAGAGGACAGTTTCCCCTCAGTTTGCTGGTTCACAGCAAATTTCAAACAGGCAGTGACTCACGGGGACTTTTAACAGTTTCACACTGAGCACGCTCAGATTTTAGCTACAATACCAACATACAGCATTCAATGGGTGAGGACAGAGTACAACCTGGACCATTCACTAGTCCAGCACATATGGATATATATATATATATACAAAAACAATTGATTGCAAACGTGTGCGATAAACCTGACCTCAACCTGAAGTCTCAGTTTTCATAAACTTTATACATGTAGCAGATGCTTTTATCCAAAGAATCAAACCCATGACTCGTTGCTCGTAAGGCAGGTGTGCTAACCGCTACACTACAGAACCACACACAGACAAACACCACTAACCACTTCCTCTGCATGACTGTGACTCATCAGCTGAAATACCAACATAAAATCAGGGACAGAAAGTGAGTCACGTCGCAGCACCAACCTTGTTGCCCACGTTGTCCAGATAAATCTGGAACTTGTTCTCCACGTCTCTGGACAGGTTGGAGCAGCTGCTCCGTATCTTCTCCATCTGTTCCTGTTGGCTGCTGCAGCTCAGGTGAAAGGTGAGCTGGTGTGGGAACAGGTTGTTGATGCGGTTCAGGAACTCCTTGGTCACCGTGCTGATGCCGTCCAAAGACTGAACAAAGTCTTCTTTGCACTTCCTGTTGGAGGAAACACAACGGTCACAAACTGGAGACTCAGATGTGAGTCACTAATGTGAGACAGACGGACGGTCGGACGGATGGTCGGACGGTGTACCTGCTGTAGCCGGCGAGCTGCTCAGTGAGCATGCTGTTCTCCCTGCGTAGAGTGATGGCCTCCTGGTGGTGAGTGTCTCTGTCCCTCAGGGCGTTGTCCCTCTCCTGGCTCAGGTACTGAACGGTCTGAGTGAAATTTGCCTTGATCAGAGTAATCATGGCGCTCTGCTGAGCATTGAGGCTCTGCAGTGTCTGAATTTGATCTGTCAAAGGTCAGAGGACAGCAGCATTAACACAGGCCAGGTGGAGGTGCTGCAGGCTCTATATATATATATATATATATAGGTATATATATATATATATAGGTATATATATATATATATATTAGATACATATACATATATATATACATATATATATTAGATACATATACAGTATACATAATATACTGTACTGTACAGTATACAGTATACATAAACCCTATAAACCTCCCTATACTACCTAAATATCTCAGTATAGCGATATACATTGTTATACTGTAGATATGTATATATATATATAGTATGTGGTCTCTGCTACCTTTTTTTTAACCTCTGCATCAGCTCGACTCTTATATTCCCTCTTCCTTATATTATCATTGTTATTATTCTAAGATGAACAACATGAATGAACAGGACTGCATTACAGTGTTTTTGGGTCCACTCACTATTAGGCGCTATTACGACGGGGGCCTGGATCGGAGGGGTCGGTCGCCTTGCTATCATGCTGAGTGTGGTCGCACTTGATCTCTCACAGGCTGCCTGTGAAAACAGCAGTTGATGAAAGTTACCACAGTAATCAGAGCAACAAAAACGTTTCATCGTGTTGGGGTTTGTTGAAGAACATTCTCACAGATTGTAGCCATAGAGAACACAGTTTGTTTTAACAGTACCTCCTGTCTGTCTGTTCATCTTTTCTACATCAACCCAGTTTAACTCACCAGTTTAACTTTCAGCAGATTTTCAGTGGTGTTGGCAGCAGCTTTGTTCTTCTCCATCTCCTTCTCCACGGCAGTTTTCTGTGCGGTGAGTGCTGTCAGCTGAGCTCCCAGGTCACTTTTGTCCTTTCTCAGCTGGACGTTGATGTCACTCAGCCTGTTGAAATTCTGCTCCAGCTCCTGCACAATAACAGCGGCCAAATCAACATCATCACGGTGTAATATTACACTGGGATTGATCCTCTCAACAAGTCAAATACTGTAATGCCACATTTTTTATTTTGTTGCTCTATTTTTAAAAACATTTTAGACAGAAAAAATAGTCAGAAAACGCTTTAACATTTTGACGATTTTATTATGAATTAAAGGAGAAAATCACTGACCTCCACCCTTCGTTCCTCTGCAGACTTCTCTGGCTGTCCGTAGATGAGGAAAAGCACCAGACTGACAATGATCAGAGACTGGATCAGGGAGGAAAAGAAGAAAATAATCTTCAAGTAGTAGCTGCAGCTCTGTCCCTTGGACCTGTGCAGGGGCTCCCTGGACTCCAGGCTGTATTTAGCCCGGGGGTAGCTGGAGCTGTACATGACTGATGGAGGAGAAATGATGACAGCTGGATTTTTAAAATTTTAAAGAGGAAAAATTTTTTGGTTGCCAGAACCAAAAATGAAAAAAAATGGAGAGAGAGAAATGAAAAGATGCTCAGCTGTGAGAGTGTCTGCTGTGCTGTCACTCTGCAGGAACATCCAGGCAGGAATGGCATGTAAAGATGGATGTAAACAATGAGCCGTAGCTGAGTGGAGGGGCCATGTTTATAAACGCTCCTAGGGGCACGCTTCCAGGTCATCCTGGCCCCGTCCTCACCCCCTCGCCCGCCTCTCCCTCCCTCTGCCTCCTGTTCTCTCCTCCCTTGTCCACCCCTGTCACAGTCACAGCCTCCTGTTCCACTGCCGCCAAAACAAAGGCTGAGAAAATCCAACTGTTGGGAACAAAACATGTTATAAAGGAAAGTTTAATAAAAAATATATATATATTCACCTCCAGCTTGAAGAATATTTTCCAAACATTTTGTTCAGTAGCTGCTGTTTTTAAATAACTGAATATACACCAGCCTGAATTTCTCTGTGAAATCCCAGAAACTCCACATTTTTATCACGTTATTCTCAACAAATTTTCATCCAGTCATAAATGATAGATGCAGCCTTTAAGCAAAAAGTCTTTTGACGCGACACTTATGACCAAATTAACTCATTAAATACTCAGGTTAGAATTATAATCATTACAGTCGTGTGTCCTTTCTGCAGATTGAAGACTAAGACCGGACTTCAGGTCACACGAGTCTACATCTGGACAGGTCATTCATTTGTTCTATGGGTCGCGAAGGGAGGTCATAGTTTAATCCTGCTATTTTTATGTCCTCTAAAATATTTTGTGAAGGACACTTGGAAAACAGTCATTCATGGAGTGGCTGTTTCTAAAGTTAGCCGCCTGCTTCCATTCTGTTTGTGTGAGAAGCTAAGGAAGCATTAAAAATAGTAAAGAGGACATAAGGAAAATTCCTACTTGGTTTTGTTCACATGGAACTCTCTTCCTGAAGTGGACACCTGCTTCCTGAGCCCAGGAGCCTGAGCAGCACGAGGATCTCAGGTGCAACTTTTGTTCCTTCATCACAACTTGCAGTCATTAAGCCGTGTATGGTTGTCTGTTGTGGACGAGTCTTGACAAATACTGTAGGAGAAGGAAAAAGAAGAAAATATCAGGAGACACGTTGGACAACTGTTGTAAAAACAGGACATAATATCAGGAGACACGTTGGACAACTGTAAAAACAGGTCACACAGTCACCTTCAGTGTGTGACAGACAGACAGACAGACATCACTTCTGTACAGTCATGAGTGTTGATGAAAGTCAGATTTATCAACTTCATTGAGGCATAAGCTTAAAATAAATAGGTGGAAAAATATTCATTATTAATTGAGCTACTGGTGATGAAAGTCAGATTTATCAACTTCATCAAAGCATAATTAAAAAAAAAATAGGTGGAAAAAATATTCATTATTAATTGAGCCACAGAATTTGTACAATAGAGTCAAATACTTATGAATGGATGGATGGAAAAAAGATGGACAGATGACAGAGATGGATGGAATGTACAACTAATCTTGCACTTCAATGCAGCACCAAACACACGCCACCAAAAACATTGAAAGTTCAATGCAGCACCAAACACACGCCACCGACAAAAACATTGAAAAAAAATACTGAAAACTTTGTCTGATTGCTGAAAAAAAATCTCTGTACATAAGGAGATCGATTTTAAACTAATATTTAACTCCATTAGAATAATTCTGAACCACCACTCTGGCAGTAGCAGCTACAGTACTGTACTTTAGTTGTACGTTACTGTAATACTTTAAATTGTACCTCTGTTCCACAAAAGTACGACAGTGGTGAAAGCAGTGATTTTCCACTGCCTGTATGTGATATAAATAATCCCAGGACATATCATTCATGGGTGTCACTTTTAAATATAGCCATTGTAGATCATATTCCCTCAGTGTTGGGTGAACAATGTAAAACATTTAGAAAGAAAAAGCACTGAAAAAATAACAACCAACCCAAAAACAAAAAAAAGAAAATTCCACCATATCCTGTTTCATGTGAGCGCGGAAAGGAGTCACGGCTGTGGAGGAGTGAAAGAATGAAAACAATAGGGAGCTGTCATTGTTGGGGATGAGAGAATAACAAATTCTCACTGCAGTACAGATGTAATGGATCCTCACCTCCACCCCCGCACCCTGCACCTCTATGGTATCTGTGCTGATGACGTGGGGAGCGCTCTCTCCCCTCTGATGGGGGGAGGCCGTGTAAAGAGGAAAGGTCCTCTGAGCCTATGCTTTTCCTGCTCCCCATTGTCCCAATGACAACCTGCACTCACCGGCAAAAAGTAATTTATGGAGGAACTTTGGAGTGACAGACGATGCGTGACCACCAGGGGTCAGGGCAGACGTGAGTGCAACAACAGGAAACCTAATGACCTTAGACTCTCCTAGTTACTGACATGGTACTAACAGATTTGACATTAGCTACATCTGAAAAAGGGATTCTACCGCCACCTTCTGGCAACAGGAGAGATAGCAAAGCCACTAAATTAAAGCTCAAACGTATGCAATAAAAATATGATTTAAAACCATTTTAGAGCGTTTATTCTGTCTTTAAAGTCAAGCCAGACTTTAGACATGAATATTTTTCAGTTGTTACACCAATGGCACAGAGATTACAGTGACGAAGATTTAACTCGTATATACAGCCTTCACATTCTTCTATTGTCTATAAAATATGTGAGAGGTAAAAAGACCAAATAAAAACAAAAAACAAAATAAAGAGGAAGTTTCCACATTTATGATACAATGCATCCTTGTTCAGTTCGCCGTTGTTTGTGCACTTCAATTGTTTTTCCACTGGACTCTGGTCCAGGTAAAAAATATATGAAGGTGTAACGTACCTGTGGCCAATAACAGGATCAGCAGTAGAGGGTGGAAGAATGAGTTTCTTTTTCTTTCTAGTCCCATCAGTGGTTTTAAATAGACCTGCAGCATCGAACTCAGCAGTAACAATCAGAACAGTTTACACTCATTCTTTTTTCTACTAAAACACAGCTGATGTGTTTCTTCCCTCTTTTATTGCTCTTAGAAAACCCTCAGTAATGAGATGTATATGGGGAAGAAAAGTGCACTTTCATAATCAGCTACAGTCTGGAAGCAGTGCTTTATCACCGTGTCTGGGTTCAGACAGTTGCCTCAATGTCCTGGGGCTCGTCGCCCTCCAGCAGGCTATAGGACGCGTGACTCTGGAAAGGTCTCTGTAAAGGATGAGCCAGAAGTTTGGCCATGCAGTTGTGCAGCTCGATGGCAGGTCCACTCAAGGAAACCTCGAAGCGATAACACATGCCCTTAGAGTCCAGGTTACAGAAGGAAGTGTAATTGTCCTGGAGACACAGAGAAAAAACATACTGCAACATAATTTTTTTGCTGAAAATTTTGTGAAATTAAGCAGGTGAAAATTTTAACACATGGTACATCTAGTACATATGGTGCATTCACTGTTGTTAATCTGTCTTGTGGATTATTTTACACACTGCTACTACATCAGACCATTATGTTCAATGGACTTCAGGTCATGGTGAACTCACCCTCCAGCTCGTCTCATCTCCCTGCTCCTCCACACCGTTGTGCAAATAGACGACGTCAAAGAAAAAATACGGAGACTGCAGCATTTTCTGTAGCAGGATAAAGAAGCAAACATGTTTAAACTCTTCAAAAAAAGCCACCACGAGATACTTTGGTCAACACGCTTTTTTATGAAAGGACAGAAACAGACCAAGTCTGAGGTTCAGACCGTCTGACTGTACTCACACTAACAGCTTCAGAAGGGTTGAACTGAAGCTGTCCTGCATTTCTGCTGTAGACCAGCACGGTCCGCACCACATAAGAAGGAGGGATGGTCTGAACATTCTCCGTCAACGGCAGTTCAATCTTCTGCCGTCTAGAAAATAAAATTAGAAATGAAGTCAGAAGAAGCGAATGTGTTTTATTCCCCTAAAGTTACCGTCACGCAGCAGAAAGATACTCACATTACATTAAGAAGATCTTCGAGGTCTACAGAAGGCAGTCAAGGCTAAAACTAAATCTGATTTTTATGGTTCTATTCCATGTCTTCGAGACCAAAGTATTATTTTTATTAGTGTTTTATGTAAAGGATACTGAAGGATTCACACACGTTGGTTTCCAGATCATAGAGACAACTGCACAGCTCCCTGGGATCAGATGTGAAACCTGACAGCTTCATATGAAAAAAGAAAAAGGACAATAAATTGCAAAGGCAGAAATGCTGAGTCAACACCATGAAGCATGAGACGATGAAACATGGAGAAGTTTGAACGCTCTCCTCTCTAACTCACCCACAATGCATCATCGTTGACAACAACCAGGGCGAACTCATGTCGTTTGTCAATCTTATGTTTTGTTCTGACAAACATTTCAATCATCTTCTGAGAAATGTTGAGGGCGTTGGTTTTAGACCTGCAAAGAAACGTAATGTAATGAAACATTACAAACAAGTGAACAATATGAATATATACCACTGTTACTCACCCGTTAAAAGACTCTAACTTTGGCAAAGACATTTCTTCAGAAAGGTCCAAACAGATAATCTGTCACAGAGAAAACATCATTTAATAACATAAACACAGGCTGAGAATTTTATGCTTAAATGAAAATGCATAGAGTGGATAAAAAAAAATCCTGACACTGCTGTTTCTACAGAGCATAAAACTTGTCACCTGAACTGTATTTGTGTATATACAGTATATGTTTGATTTTTGTGATGAAAACTGACCACTTTCTCTGGACAGTTGACACGAGGGACTCTGAGCTGGTACTCTGCTGGCGGGGGGACACAGACGGGCAGTGTGGGCTGCTGCAGTGTGGGCTGCTGCTGTGTGGACTTTGGCCTTTCTTTGACTGCGACAGCTGGCGTGGACAGAGACGCAGCACCAGCACCAGCAGCACCCCTGCTGTGTGGACTTTGGCCTTTCTTTGGCTGCGACAGCTGCAGTGGACAGAGACGCAGCAGCAGCACCTGCAGCAGCAGCAGCAGCTACCACAGCAGTAGCAGGAACTGCTGTCTGAGCTGCAGCCGTTGAAACAGTGGCGGTGGTGGAGCTCGGAGGACTGTCACTGGTGGACGCCTCGCCCTCGCCCTCCACACGACTGCCAACCGCCGGCTGAGATACGTTTGTGTTACTGGTGCTGCCCAGGCTGCCGGTGCTGCTGCGGCGATCCTCAGCTCCTTCAGGGTTAGAACGGGTGCGAGGTCTCAGCTCCACTGGACGCTCCTCTCCATCTGCTGGACCAGGCTCTGGAGTCTCCATGGAGATCTGTGTTACCATGAAGATACCGAGATTCAGTCGTGTTATTCCAAAAAAAAATTGAATCAAGTTCTTGTACATTGTTCAGCAAATGTTTTTAAAGAACGCAGCCAACGAAGAACACCCTAAACTTATGCAAAACCACGACTGCTTTTGTTGCTTGCCGTTTTATAATAAAGTACACAGCAAACAATATATTAATAGAATTGCTATGGCATAAACCTGTTATTCTGTCTGTGTCAACACAGTGACGGCGCATTAGCCTCGTAGCTTATAGCATTGTTTCGGTCTGATTTTAACTCGATAAACGCTTTTAATCGTGAGGCAGTAAACGTGTCATGTTTGAAATCGCAGGTGTACTCACCGGGAGGATATATTCACACTCTTAATGGCCGAAAAACATTAAACTCATTTAAAGTCGTAGAAATTCCTGACGACTGTTTTGAAAAGAAAGTCGACTTCCTTACCGGATATGATCTAACCCGGAACAGGACTGTTTCCTTTTTATTCTAGGTATGCTGGAAGGACATTGCTGCCACCTAGCGGTTAGAGTTGAGATTTCACAACTTTCAATGACTTCTAGAGCGGTAACCATAATCCTTTGGCAATACATACTTCTTTTGTAGTTTACAATGACAAAACCCAGTACACTTAGTATTGACATATAGGAATTTCAGGAAATGATCTACAAGCTTTTTTTAAAAAGAACTGTAAAACAAAAATTAAATTTAAAATAAAATGGGTTTTTTAAACTTTTTTTTTTTTTTTAAATAAGTGTGCATTTAACCTGTTAGTGAAAAATGTCAGTTACCAATCACGGATCATTTTTGTTTTTCCTTTCTGCAAAATGACATCACATTTCTCTGGAGACTGATGAAAAAAGATTTCATGAATATCCTAGTTTAAAAAATGTTGTTTCATTACTGTGAAGGAGGTCAGCAGAAAATGAATCAACAGATGTTGAGAACATTCAAAAAAGCATGCTGGTGGCTCTGTTATGGTTTAGAGATGTATTCCAAACACCATTCATCATATCAAATTAAAACAAAAGAAAATTGTGTATACTGCTCTTATCCCCTTGTCCTTAATCTTTTATAATCATATTTATTTATGTATTTATTTATTAACACACCACATTCAGCAAATGGACATGTACTGTGTCCACAGCCCTGGACACAGTCAACTACTGAAAATGCACGAGAGCTAAAAACAAAACAGGAAGGGACCCGACATGAGAAAGGGAATGGGTGGAGATGACTTTCTGTTTTCCACTCCATTCATCGTACAAAAAAGGCAAACATGCTGCAAGGACGCCACTGTGTCTGGCAGGAAAAGGGAGAAAACCATCTCCCTTTTAGCGAACACCCAGTTGGAGCCACTGAATAAGAACAGAAGTCACTGCTGCAGGATTCAAGCTCAAAAGTCATGGAGGTAAGTGTTACTGCAGTACTGCTGTCGATCCGGTGAGAAAGGTGTTACAACCCAGTCAGTCTGTCTCAACATAGTCTTCATTATTAATGACGGGGCTTTACTGAATTACAACACAATGTGTTGAACTTTAGATCGTGTGTGTGTATGTGGGACTAATTTAACGACTAAATACAAAATACTTCATCACTAAACACCCGGAAAAATTGTTGATTATTTTAGAAGAAACCATATGATGTCATAACAAGACTGGTGTTTATTTGATCACATTTGTGTGATTAAAAAAAGGAGCTACTAATCTTTTTTATTTGTATTTATTAGACCAAAAATATTTGTCAGAAAGCTAGAGAATGTTTTGGTCCACAAATATGTGAGGCAGGAAGTTGAACCTCAGGATGTTTTAGATTCCACTCCTTTTTCCGCTGCTCAAAACAATAGCCATGAAACAGTTCAGCAACAATGTGTGCTCTGAGAGAACGACTCAGAGCAAATATCTTAGTATATGAACTTAAAATACTGAATACTGAACATCACCACCTCTACAACAGAATTATATTATTTATACTACTATATATTATGTCTTTAGTAGGATTTTTAAATGTTATGTTTTTTTTGGTTAAGTGAATTTGTAAATGCCTAAAGTGAAACACATATCCAAATGTGATGAAATTCTATCAACATTTATAATTCAAAATCATCACCTTTTTCCTAAAGGAGTCCTGTCTGGTCAGATGTGACAGCCTGGACACGGGATCAGTCAGTGACAGGGAGATGACTGACCGCATGAACTTTGACCCTGATGGATCAGAGCCCACGGCAAACCTGGAGCCTTCACCGGCAGAGTTGGCCCAGTGTGAGGCTGAGGTGGGCACGCTGCTCAGCATCATCGCTGAACTGAACAAAAAGATGGGCTCACTGAAGGCACCAAGGTAACGTGACCGAAGCTAAAACATAATCTGCTGTTTGGTGGGAAATAATTATTCTATAATATGAGATTATCTTTCTATAAAAACATCAGGTTTAGACGTCAGATTGTACTGTACTGTGACCATGTTGACTGACCGTTTTCAGTTCTTCTTCTGTAGTGACCCAGGAGACTTGAGACCATCAGCGCCATCTAGACCTCTGGTGCCTGACCTTCTCTCTCACAGACTGGTCAGAAGAAGCCCAGAGAGACATGTTGTCTCCACCGCTACGTCCAAGTCCCTGCTGACTGACAGAGGTCGGCAGGTCCAGCCATATATGACTCAATTTATGATAGTTTCAAACTTGCACAAAGTACTTTGTTCACACATACTTACAGTATACTACTATAGTGTCCATTACTGTGATGTGCACTTATTGCTTTTGGCATAAAAATAACTACGGTAGAACTGGTGCTGTTTCTGCAGAAATTGTTTACGACTGATAACACTTACATGTATCATCCTCCAGGGGGCAGTGGTGTAGTCTGGACACGGCTGCAGGATGTTTTGTCATCACTGGAGGACTCCATCAGCTGTAGAAGGACCTGGTCCGCTCCCATCACAGCTTCTGACCAAGACAAACACAGAGAGCACCTCAGAGCGGCCCAGGAGAGCTGGCTGAAGTCCAGCCAGGTACAGCTGTGGAAGGGAATTCACTGATAGGAACAGAAAAACATACAGGCTGGGTTTCCACTTCCACCCACATGTCAAGCATCTTGGACTCACTGTTACAGATACTGGAGGAGATGGAGAGAGAGTTTGGAATATCATGTCAGTCCATCTTGTTAAGGGACCAGAGTCGGCGGGACAACGTGGACGTGGACAAATCTGACCCCGCCCTGAGGAACACCTCACAGTGCCAGCAGGAAGATCTGGGACGAGCACAGAACACGATCAGTCTGATGGAAGAGGAAAAATACAAGGTTTATATATGAAAAAATGTATAACAAAAAGAAAGCAGGGGTCTTGAACTGAAGTGATAAAGCAGGAACTCTCTCTTCCCTCCCAGTTCATGGGTCTCCATAGGTCATGGAGGTCAGGCAGTCGCTCCCCCTCATACCGACCCCCCACCGCTGGATCTTTCAGTTCAGATGTGGGCTCTCCTCCGTTCCCTGGTTCTCCTTTACTCCACAGGAGATCAAGCAGAGGTTTAACACCTCTGTCTCCTGTAGGAGACGTGTCTCCGCTGGGCTCCGTGAACTCAGACAGTCCTTGTCCCAGTCCCATCAGTGCAGAGCCTGAGACTGAGAGACTGAACAGGTGAGTGTGAGAAACAGCACCAGATATTTCATGGTAACTGATTCAAAAAGCACCCTCTTGTTGACTAGTTTTATATTTAGAACAAACCCCATGAACACCTTAACTAGTCCTCGGGAGCTAGCAGGTTTCCCCGAGCACCATGTTGGTGACCCCTGGTGTAGACAGTTCATATATTCAGATAAAACAGACATTTTGTTGAGGGTCTGTAGACCATCAGTATACACCTGTAGACCAACAACTACAGTATATAGTAGAAAGAAAAAGTATTTCAGAGCTGTTGTAGATGGAGCATCAACAGCTTCATACCATCATGAAGAACCACTCAGTCCAATAACTGGCTTCTACAGAGAACCCACTGTCTCTGTTTGGACTCTGCGGCTCCAGGCCAACCCTGGTACATTCAGTGTGTGTGTGTGTGTGTTTGTGTATCTGCAGTACGTGTGGAATCAAGTACTGTGGTCTGTCTTCTAATGCAGGTACGTGGAGAGGCTGAAGGCCAGAAATGAGCGTCTGACCGCAGCGCTGGAGAGGAGGAAGGCAGAGTGTGAGCAGCTGACCTACACTCTGCACAGACTGGAGGCTGACTGCTCTGGCCTGCAGAGGGCTCTCAAGTACAGGTACAAACTCGACACCTGCCAGCTCCGGCCTGGTGCACATTCCTGTCTGTCCGTATGTGGGGGGTGGGGGAGGCTGGTGTCAGGATAACAACTGGACACTGGTCTGTGTTCACGTGTGTTGTGAGGACGGATGTCTTTCTTTCTGATTGACAGCGAGGACTGTGAGGAGGCCTACAGCCAGCTCCTGTCACTTTACGAGGCCAAGACGCAGCAGAACATTCCTCTGCCCTCGGACCCAGCAGGTGTTTAAATACCGCTGTTAATACTGCTCACAACCCTGTGACACTAAGACACTCGCATATGCAGTAGGTATGAAACCCCCATTCACCCCCTCCCTCCCTCTCCCTCTCTCTCTCTCCCTCTCTCTCTCTCTCTGTAGGGGCAGCGGGAGAGGAGCAGCAGCCTGACCATCCATCATCAGAGGAACTGTCCACCTCCTTCTCAACAGCAGGGGTCACAGAAGAGACAGAAGAACAGAGTTATTCAGGGCAGAGGTGAAGGCTTTAAAGGAATAGTTGGGATGTTTTTTTTATTGTGTTGTTTTTATGGTACAGTTGACGCTAAATGTGGGACGCTGCCACCTGCTGAGTAGTATGACATTTAAGAATACTTAAAAAAAATACTGCTGCTTTTGAACTGGAATTTCACTCATTTATTCCAGTCATGTTTTACTGCAGAATCTCTCGGCCTTTTTTTGTTTAAAAGCAGCTCCATCCTCCTGCTGTGTGACAGTAAATACTCCGTACTCATACTCTGTAGCTCATTTCCAGTCCTGCTATCACTCAAAGCACTTTACCGTCTACCTACGGACAACAGGATGTGGCATACTGTATAACCTATAGAGGTTAGATTCAAACCCACAACCCTTTGAGTGAGACTCCATCACTATCTATTGAGCTCCAGCCGACCACAAACATATGTTTTCAATTGATTTGTGTTTCTGCTATTGACTCTTCCCACAGCTACACATCATCAAGCACAAAGACTAAAAAGAAAACTTGAACCAAACCTTGAAAAGTTCATGATATAAATGTCTGGGTTTTTCTATGAATAGTTTTTCTTAGACTGCGGCGACCGTCGTCTTTTATCATCTTTGATTCTTCAGGGCAACAGAGTTGGAGGACAGAGAGGCTGCTCTTCGTCATCAGATTGACCGCCTGAAAATGGAGCGCGCAGCCATTTATCTCCCTAAAGTGAGCCCAGGAGTGGAGAACAAAGTCAGCCCTGAGACTGGACAGCCCGCTGGGTCCAAAGGAGGACATGTGACTAAAGATAACATCAGACCTCTGGATGCAAAGAAAGAAAAGACCTCTCTCTTCTATGAACTCATTTCAGTCAGGGTAGGTGCTGCTGTCTCCACGGCATGTTTGTAGATTGCACGATAAGAAGAAAAAAGAAAAGATCATGACCTGCCATAAAAAATCCCAATAAAACTATGCTGCCAAAGTATTGATTAGACAATGCCTTTTAACTTGGAGATGATTTTTGATGAAGTTATTTGTCAGTTTTTATGGTTTTCTCGCCACTTTTTCATATGAGATGATCATGACCGTTTCATTTATCTTGAAGGTCAGGCGTTAGGAAAACTATTTTCTTCCTTTATCTAGTTTTTCCCTGATGACAGAATCAGTCACCTGACCCACATGGTGTATCCAGAATGGGCCACACCTCAGTCAAATTAAACTAAATCTCACAGATTATCGCAGATGAAATATTCCTTGTGTTCCTCATTTTTTCATTTTTCTCAGGAGGAAATGTCAGATCTGCGATCTCTGATCCGTCTCAAGGAGAAAGAGCTGCGGTGCCTGGAGTGGAGTCTGATGGCACAGAAAGCCCAAGAAGCAGCAGGAGTTTTTGTCCCAGAAAGTCTCAGAGAGGAGCTTGAGGACAGTAAGAGTGAACAACAGGTAGGACGTCAATCGCAGAAAGTCAAGGTGACATGGGCGAAGAGGGAGCAGGTCTTTGGTCGACGGTGAGCGACCTGATTTGAATCCGAGTGCTGCACATGGGAAATCAAACATCCACCAAAGCAGAATCCCTTCAGGCCAGGGCAGATATTTCTGACAAGGTCTTCTGCTGGGATGTCCTTTCGCCGCAGCACAGATTACATCTGCTTCATGGCTTAATGTCAGAGAACTTTAAGGTCACAAAAATGTGATTTTTTTCCAGCTGCTCCCTTGTGACCTGGCTTTACAGACCAGTGACTACAGTGTTTATCATTTCATTGTTCTAACTAACACAGCTTTTCTTTGAAAGATTTATAAAAACGATCAACCAGTAAAAGAATAAAAAGTAAATATATGTATTCCAAAGATTTCAAAATAAAAGTCTTTGGCTTGGTCTTCTTTCTTAAAAAACTTGAAATGTCCCAGGAGAAGAGAGAGATATAAACCATAAAACTTGAAATGTCCCAGGAGAAGAGAAAGATATAAACCATATAGGATTAATCTGTTTAGATTTAAACATACATTTTTAACAAATAGTTCTGTTTAGATTTAAACATACATTTTTAAAAAAAGAGTTATTTTGGATCACATGACTTTGTTGTGGTTATTTTTCTCTTCTACCTGGTTCTGCAATATCTAAAAGACAAAGGTAGGGGAGGTCATTCTCAGACTGACCTTGTCGTTATGTTTCAGAGGTTTGATGTCACAGATGGAGACGGTGCTGAGGCTCGGACCAGACCCATCCTGAAAGATCTCCAGGCAGTTCTGCAAAGGTGGAGTATTCACTGTCCGAAATCACGTACCTGCAGTAGGTACTAATGGCTGAAGTCTTGAATGTTCTACATTTTAGGGAACAGGCCCTGAAGAAGAGATTGGCTTTGGTCCATGACTCAATAAACACAGTTCTTCCAGACAGTTCTTCACAGAGAAAGGACAGCGGAGACCAGATGGCCCGTCTGGCACAAGCCCACAGGTAAATATGTAATAAAATTGTTTTTTGTGTGTGTATTTTTTCTGCCACCAAACTGATTCAAAACAACTCACTCTGTTTTGTCCACTGTTGCAGCAAAGCCTTAAACTCATACAGGCAGATACGGAGGAAGTACCGGGAGCAGGTGTGGAGGCTGGAGCAGAAGGTGGCCGCCATGACAGACCGTCAACACCAGGGTGCAGCACCAAAAACAGCAGGAGAGGCTGTGGAGTGGAGGAGAGAAGAGACCGTTCTCTGAATCTGTGACCTCTGAGTCGGTCTACAGTTAAACACCCAGACGTACAGTATAGTCGGATTACTTTCATATGTATTTCCAGCTGTACATAACGGACCATTTACCAAGCCCCGCCCCGCCTCTTTGTCACTGCTGCTCAGGTCCATTAAACATTTAGGAGTTAACATGGCACTTCCACTTTGCTTGCTTGTTTGCCCATCTCATCAGGCTTATCTAAGTCCTTGACCTCTGGACAGCCAAGACTATCAGCAGTGTGTGTGTGTGTGTGTGTGTGTGTGTGTCAACCCACCTCCACCCCTGATCTGACCTAAGGCCACAGCCTGTTACAAACCTACAGTATGCGCTGGAAAAAAAGTGAAACCAAAGTGGAGTGGAGACCTGGATCACTGAGGCAGACGGAGCAGAGAAAGATGTTCGTCTTTAATTTAACAGGATATGATCTGAACTACGGGGACGTACTATATATGTAGGTTCATACTAATGCAGAACAGATAGATAAAGAAGATAAAGAAAAGTCCATTGAAAACATGTGTGAGCTGAGAGAGCCTTGGCTGTGATTGGTCAGTCTGCAATTTGTGGGTGGGACTTATGATCATTTAATTCCTTGTTTAAATAATATGGAAATATACTGTATATAAATGATGATAATGCAAATTATTGTTACATTTATTAATACATTGTAAACATAAAACACAAAATGTTGTTAATTACTGTCCAGAAAATTAAATGCTAAGCAAGAAAAAAAAAGGTTTGACAAAAATAAAGGGTTGATATTGTTACATCTGTGCCTGTCCTTCCTGGTTTTTTAGTGTTAGATCAGTGGAACATTGACTGGACTCTCATCACAACACACACTCCTAAATCACAGTGGTGCAGTTGAGGACGGACCTCAGCTGAACACATGTCCCTGTTCCCATACAAACGGACTCAATAAAGACTCTTCTTCTGACCGGCTGTGCAGCAGTGACAGACCTCGGGGTGGACGGGGGGGGAGGGGTCAGCCCAGTCCATTTGTCTTCTTTGCAAAGTGTCATAGTTCCCAGTTTCCCGTGCTGTCGGTCTTCAGCACCTCTTTTTTGTCAAAACTTCCCAGATTAGATTGACAATTAAAATAAATAAGAGAATGCATTCAAAAAACACACATTAATAGACAAAATAATTATGACTCTATGTTAAAAAGTGTTCTTTTACATTTAAAAATAATTCATATTTTTTTAGGAACTTTTTACAGATGACAGACCACAGTGCCTTACAATTAAAATTAATATATTTATTTATGATAATTCTGAAAAAAGGATGAAAAGTTTCTTTAACTTACCCTCCTTTATTTTCTGGAAACTCTGTAAACAGAGAAAACAGATCACATGGTTAATAACAGCATTAAAAAATACATATCTGAGTAAATTACTGGTGATTTAAAAAACTTATATAGGCATTAAATGAAACTTCAACTAATTTCAGTTACATTTACGGTCAAAAGTTCTGACCATGTCCTGTGTAACCACCTCTGGTTGTGACCCAGTTTTTTTTTTGTTTGTTTGGTTTTTTTATTAAAACACTGATGTATAGTGTGTCTGTAAGAACGTTCCGTTCCCTCCTGAGGCCTAATGTTCAGTAAATGTCCTCCAGGGAGAAAAGAGAGCGGCAGATCATTTTTTGGGATTGTGGGAAAAAAAAAACACAAACAGCCCTCTGGAGTATTTCCTCTGTACTGAGGAACAGCTGGGAAAACTGCTCTGTGATGGAGTCTCTCCAATACAAACTCAACCATATATATACACATATACACTATATATAAATACACATATATATTGGCAAATATATACATGCATTTATATATAACATATGGGTGTAAATCTATATATGTGTCTATGTACTATAAATATATTTATATATGTATGTATTATATAAATACATGTATATATTTGCCAATATATATGTATATATATATAAAGATATGTGTGTATATATATATATATTTATACAAACAGCCCTCTGGAGTATTTCCTCTGTACTGAGGAACAGCTGGGAAAACTGCTCTGTGATGGAGTCTCTCCAATACAAACTCAACCATATATATACACATATACACTATATATAAATACACATATATATTGGCAAATATATACATGCATTTATATATGCATGTACATATGGGTGTATGGATGTACTATAAATATATTTATATATACATATAATATACTTATAAATACATGTATATATTTGCCAATATATATGTGTATTTATATATATTTCATATATATAAATACACATATATATTGGTATAAATACATACTGTGCTCTTGGAAAATTGCAATCTGGGTGTTCTTTGAAGACAAATGTCAGACAATGATGGAGGGAAAATGACCCAGACATGGGCCACAAATATATTCTTTCTACTTTACACAGTCGGTTCATTGTTTTTTAAACCGATCACTATATCTTTTTTTTTTTTTATGCAGCACCAGACGAACCTACCAGTGCATTTTTTTCTCTAAACCCTTTAAGGGCTGATATGTATCTGCTGCACTTCACATCCACCCTCACCCTCTCCCTCTCCCCCATCTTCTCTCTCATCTCACTCATCTCTCAATCATATCTGTCCACTCTCCCTCCTCTATGGCTAACCCTGTGCCCTGACCTCCTCGGGCCGGTCAGCTGCAGCTGTGACCGGCGGTCAGGAGGTTAAGGCAAAGGTTGAGTGTCACACCCACAGGGTCACAGTGATGCCTGGCTGTTGTGTTATCCCGTGAATGGAAGGTTCAGAGCTCCAGACGAGGTGGCGAGGCCCTGACGCCCTGACTCCTGCCTGAGCTTGCCCTTTCCCGAGCAAAGGTCAGCAGAGAGGGCCTGTCCTCTGCACTGCCCCCACAGCTCCAGGTCACCATCGCTATTGTTGTAATAGCTGCCATTAGAGCAGATGATACAATTATCGTTCCATTTTCTGCTCCTGCTCTCCCAGGTCTGTGCACAGGCTCCCAGTTCATCAAAGCTTTGGCTTTTCTCTTTCTGATGACATGACTGCCGTAACCTCAGGGTGACTTTTTATCAAAGGGGACAAAATGTCTGAGGTATAATTAGATCGAGCCGGGAATGAAGTTGTTCTGGCAGAAGCATTTAGTCGGTTGCCATCACTGCACAGTGGTCAGTGTGACGTCCTTGTTCGTAGGTTCATTCAATTATTCCTGTTATCTTGCTTTGTTGTAGAGGTCAATTATTTGAATCCGGTTTAGAATCAACTGCTTAATGTTGGTTCTTAAAAACTGGGTTGGGAGCAAAAAATGGGTCGTGATATGTTTTTGAGGGGGGTCGGTAAATAATTTTACTGCTCAAATACACAGAGGTGAAATGTTTTGACTTTAGGTTAACTGGCAGTTGTATTATTTGAAAAGGAATCTTCTACGACACACACACACACGTGGATGGGTCTCTGCTTCAGTGCTACGTCTGGCCATGAGTTTAAGGTAACTTGACCGGAAAAGTGTTAAAAATGAATCAATCATTTGAATAAAGGCCTTGTCTTAACGGCTGTGTGTTGAATAAATACAACCTCAGGTTAACCTTGACCCGACAGGCCGGCTCTGTAACTGGCCTAATCTAATCTCCCTCACGATAACGTCGTTGCAGCGACTGTGTGTATGTGATGAAATTTGCACTGATAAACGGTTCTGAAGCGTCATTAATGACCAGAGCGGATAACAAGTTAAACAAAGCTCTGGAGAACTCTGCCGTTTCATGTGAGACCCTCATAAAGACCAGCACAGTTCTTAGTACTTTTTGTGGGAACATCGGTTCCTGCACCGTGTGCAGCAGCGAATCTACGAGAAAGAGGCACAGAGCGTCTAATGGCCCGGGAACAATACTCAAAGCATTATTAAACAACGGCACAGGCTGTCAATCACAGTGGGGGTGGGGGCAACCACAGGCAGGCTCAAGGGGGAGGGGGGGAGGTCAGGGGAGGGTGTCTGTCTTGACCCTGGGGTTTTGGGTCATGTCATTTCTTCTGTGAATCCATTCCTCATTTTAATAAGTTGTTCCTGTGTTTTAGCTGCGTGGAGATCAGAGACCCCCCCTCCGTCCCCCTCCCCTCCGTCTCCCACCCCTCCCTCCCCCGTCCACTTCTTAAAGCCATTAGCTCACCTGTCACAAACACTCCATATCCGCTCCTCATCCCCTCCTCTTTAATTCTCCCTCTGTTCTCTGCTCTCTGCTGTGGGACGCTGTTGACCTGACACCGCTCTCTGTCTCTCTTGAGCCTTCTGACCCCCGCGCTGCCCACAGAGAGGTCAGGACCGCGGGCTGCCGCTGGCATGGAGAAGTCAGGAAGAGATTTGACCTCAATCAAACGGCCCATCACATCGGCTTTGTGCTCAGAGCCGCTGAAATAATGACAGCTCGGGACCGACCGACGGGACGACTCGGCTCTGCACCGTGAAACGTCTCTGTTGTCTGGTGAAACCGCACACATCCAATTAAGGCGATGTTCACACCTGAGATCCTATTACAGGATTTCTGGCTCTGGTTCTCAGTATTGGCAAAGGTTTTTTTTTTTTTGATTGATGTGTCAGCTGACAGGTGTCCTCCACTCAGTGAAGACCTCCAGAGTATTAACAGGTTCAACTTCTGTAATAGTATTGACATGCATGCCCATTACCTGAGTTTCCTTTATTGATAGGTAATAACTGCATTAGCATTTTTATCGACTAAAGAAAAATGTGTGTCGAAGGGTCAGATTATTTAGGTGCCGTTGGGATTAGGGTTGCAGGTGCAGATCTTTGTGGTATTCGAACTAATGAAAAAATATTTTCTTTTTTTCTGCAGCATTTACCTTTATTTTGAAGGATGAAGAACTTTCCTCCAGACGTTCCTTCAGCGCTTCACATGTAACTGTCAGACGGAGGAGAGGAGAAAAAAAAAAATCAGGATGTGATGTCAAATTCCACAGTGTTTACATACAGTACATGTCCATACCATTTACATGACAAATGTGGGTTACTGTTCAACTGCTGTTAGTCTAACATTTACATGATCTAAATAAAAAACTCAAATAAAAAGCATCAATCAAAGTGTGGTCTGAAGAATTCATCAGTTTACCATGACTGGACCTCAGCGTACAAACAAAGCTGCAGTAACCTCAGGGTTTGGAACAACTTTTCTTTGATGAGAAAGTTTTTAAGTGTAATTGTATTCATGTTTCTTTAGAGGGCAAAAAAAGGACTAATTTTACCTCGTGACTTTTTACAGCGGTCATTCAGCTACAGACTGTTGGACCGTGGACTGTGACTAATGACTTCTCTGGTCACCTGTTGTTTAGAGACACAACAAACAAACAGAAGGGACAACGTTCTCCTACATCTGCACTGAGAACTTCCATGTCAAACAAACAAACAAACAAACGTGTGTGCTCTGGCTGATGGTTTGTTAGGACTAACACCTCTGAAGTGTTAATCTACCCTGATGTGAGCCCCCTACAGGCCGTGGATGAAATACTAATGTCAGTGAACCCTCTAAACCATCTCCAGTCATGCAGAAGAACAACCTGACAGCTCTTCTTAACCTGGACCAAATTTGCTGTTATGGCTCTGTTGACCACGGACCAGATCAACGCCCTGACCAACAAATGCCCTGGTGGTCAGATAAGCTGGTCAGTTAGCTGTGTGCTAGATTACAGCAGTAAGATGTTCAGAGGAGGGAAGGTGGGGCGTGGCCCGGCCCTAATCCTGTTAGAGTATTTGAGACGTCTTCACTGAGCCGATTAGATCAGTTTTCTGACATCCTC